AGGGAGGAAGGAAGGAAGGAAGGAAGGAAGGAAGGAAGGAAGGAAGGAAGGAAGGAAGGAAGGAAGGAAGGAAGGAAGGAAGGAAGGAGGAAAGCAGACAAAGACGGAAGAGGGAAAGAAGAAAAGGGTGGAGGGAGGGAGGAAGGGAGGAAAAAAGAAAAATAAAGAAGAAATGAAGAGACTTTTTAAAGGCACTATTGCATTTTTTTTTTTCCCCTTTGGCTTTCTAATTTTAAAGGCACTATTGCCTTTTTTTTTTTTTTCCCCTTTGGCTTTCTAATTCTATTATAAGTTATAAAAGAAAAAAATGGTGAAAGGCACTATTGCATTTTTTTTTTTTCCCCTTTGGCTTTCTAATTCTATTATAAGTTATAAAAGAAAAAAATGGTGCCAACTTTTTAGAAACTACCATTCAGGTGGTAGGTGTACCTACCATCAAGAACCACCTTATCCTCCTGTACTTTTTGAGGTTTCTTTAGATGGCATTTAGCGGTCGAGGATTCTCTACCCTCCAATCAAATTTGGTAAAAATTTCTGCATTCCAGATATCTCTACACTCTAGAATCTAAAGTCTTGTGAGATTTGAAAATGGTGCATGATTATAAAGTTGAATACAGATTTTAGTATTTTAATTCCTATTTAATCCCTGAGAACGTTCTGTCAACGTATGTTAGTTCATGCCTTTAAAGAATTAATGAGAATGACATTAGGAGAGATAAGGTTTTCCTATGATAGTAAATTAAATGTGTCATCTACTTTCTTAATTAACAGTTATTCATATCTGAAGGCTAAAAATGTAATATTATTTCATATTTTCTGGGAATGAGTAGACACCAAAATATAGTCCCAAGAAACTGCATGCCATCTGAATATGCATTAAAATTGAATATAATTGATTAATTCTACTTGAAATTGTGAGACACATGTTTCCATTTGGTGGGATAATCCCATTACCTGGTAATTGATTTTCAGTATTATATTCAATCAAGTATAAAAATATTTTACTCGTCCATTACTGGGTTCTGATGTTAAATACTGTGAGACCGACATGATAAGAAATGCTGAATTAAGTTGAGAAATGAAAGGGACTATTTGTAGTTTCTCCTGCCCATCACCCATCATGCTTTTTAAAAAATTTTAACTTATCAATATACAGCGTAGTTGATTTTCATGTCCATTTACCAATTCCTCCTTTTCCCCCTCCGTCTCTCCACCCCCTGTTTCAACATCATATCTGTTCACTTGTCTTAATGAGCTCAAGAAATTGTTGTGATTGTTGTGTCTCCCCCCCCCCGCATTTATTTGTTTGTATATTTATTTATTTATTTTTATTAGCTCCCACAAATAAGTGAGAACATGTGGTATTTCTCTTTCTGTGCTTGGCTTATTTCACTTAATATAATTTTCTCTAAGTCCATCCATATTGCTGCGAATGGTAGTATTTCATTGTGCTTTTTATTGTGATATTTCATATATCCAGGGCCCTCTACTGGGAAGAGCATCCACTTAGCTGAGATGACATATTCTTCTCTAAAAAGTTGGGCTCATTTCCCCTCCTCTCCACCCCTAGGGCAATCCATTCATCCCTCTTCCTTAATATTTACCATGCCATGTGGAAATGTTGAATCATCTCTTTCACAAGATTTCAATATGCTCAAGGGGAATAATTATGAGCTATTCTTTATAAATCCAGCAGCTGCCTCACTCAGGGTCTTACAAATACTAAGTGCTAAGTGCTTGCTAAACTCAATTAACTGTCAACAGCAAGTAATACCTGATAATGTAAAATTAAATGCTATAATAAGTTATAAAGCCATTTGGCTGGGGAATTATAATGTAAGAGGAGATCAAAGAAGTCCAGGAAGGCTTTCTGAGAAAGTTAGGACTTAATTTGTGCCTTCCATCTAGGAGTCCAAGAAAAAAAGCAAAATTACTTCCAGGAAATGAAAAATATCATGGATGTAGGAATGAGCAAGCTGTACTGATGCACACAAAAGATGGCTGAAATAAAGATTCTGTTCCAGAGAAGCATGAAAATAACACTGGATAATTAAATTAGCATCACCCTACAAAGTATAATGAAAGCACATAGGAGAATTTAGACCAGATGTAAAAACCAAAAATAAAATTATTAAAGTTATCAGAATATTTAATTAAGTTTATTAATTATTCATAAAATATTTACCACATAGAAGGCATCGTTTTTGGTTCTGCTGGGGATCCTCTGATATTTAGCTTGGCTAAAACTCCCTAGCTCTCTGAATAGAGACCCATATTTGATCAAAGCGATAGTAGGATCAAAAGCAAAACCCTATCCTGTGCTTCTCCAAATGAACAATCAAACAGTATTTTTGGAACACCTATTACGTATTCTTTTTCTTTTTTTTTTTTTGTCTTTTTCCGTGTCCGGCAACGGATCGCAACCCTCAGTGTCGCCCCCGTACCGGACCGGGACCGGCAACGGGATTGCAACCTTCGGTGTTGCTCCCGCGCCTTGCTCAGCCAGTGAGCGGGAACCGGTCTGTATGTGGGATCTGAACCCTCGGGCGGGAGCACCGCCACGCTTCCCAAGCGACGCACTATCCAGTGCGCCACCGGGCCGGCCCCCTTATTATGTATTCTTCATTGTGATGCCACAGAGTAACAAAAGATTTGTAAGATACAGGGCCAGTTCACAGGGAGTTTCTAAAAGATCTGTCCGGGAAATAGTTACACACACAACAAACTACTTAGTAAAAGAAAAAGAAAAAACGAATTTGACTAAATTCCCTAAGCTCACATAGGTAGGAAGGTATACAGATCTGATGTTGGGTTGAACTAATGGCAATTAAATGAGAAGAAGATATTTAGGAATCTGGGGGAGAATTCACCTAATGCAACTGGATTTGGAGTCAGAAAATCTGGGTTCAGTTCCTAATTTGAGAGTTACTTGATCACCATTGATTCTTCCAAGATGTATATTACTATCTCTCTGAGAAGATAGTTAGGAAGGTTAATTGAGGTATCTGTTACAGTTCATTAGCATAGTAGCACATGACAGATATTAAATGAATATTATTTAAATCTGAACCTACCTAGAAAATAAATTTTGTTTACTTCAGAGTTTTTCTAGGATAGATTCTTGGCTCTAATGAGTCAGCTATCAATTTCTGAAACACTAGGATCTACTCCCTATCCAATGAGTCAGATCAAACAGAAACTCAGATGAAAGGATAGCTCCTGTCCTCTGTGAAGCACCCAAAATACCTTCTCTTCATCACGGGCTAGCCATCCTTGACTTGCAGACGGTCAGCTTTGCCTCCCCAACTTTAACTCCCCCTTTCTTTTTCTTATCAGATGATCCTCTTTTCAGCCTGCTGTATCTGTGGACTCATTGGGGGCATCCTGAATTTCCAGTTCCTTCGGGCAGTCACAAAAAAGACCTCTTCCCTGTATCCTCTGCACCTTGCCTCCATGTCTCTCGCGTGCATTGGGATCGGAGGCTGCACACTCTCTTCCTGGCTAACTTGTCGACTGGCCAGCTATGAACAGAGGAGGATGTTCTCAGAAAGGGAGCACTCCCTGCACCACTCTCATGAGATGGCTGAGAAAGTGAGTGTTGGACCTTTACCTCTCACTGCTATCATGTGATGAAGACTGCAGTCTACTCTAGATGAATCGACTTGCAGCTCTAGGTGACGATTTGAGGAATCAGACTTTATAAGTTTGGCCCTATTGGATTAAGAATAGGAATTTGTTATTGCTTTTTTTCACTGCAATTCATGGATACATCTATTTTCAAGATAATTTTGTAGCCTGTCTATCTATTCACATACACAGTTCCTAAAATAGCATTCACAAAGTATTGAAAATCTTACAAAACGTATTTTTGTGTATTATATTGAGGAAAAACAGGTAAACTAAATACACTCTCCTCTCAATAATGCAAGTTTTAGAAATAGCATGAATTCCTTTTTCTAGTGCATCCCTTGTGCTTGTAAGTAGATGCATTTGATTATGTAAATTAGATCTTCTAGCAAAAAGAGGCTTTTTAATAAGGCAACAAAAAGCTTTGTCTATCGGTGCAGATATTACAATCCATATAAAGCTTCATTTAATTCTCATCTAAACTTCATGCATATTTGGATAGATTTGTTTGTCTTTTAAACAATGGTTCTTGCATAATTATTTCATGAAACCCATTCAAGCAGAAAGTTACATTAATTGTTGTCCTAAAAGGACAAATGGTATAGTGACCTGTCTGTGTTTCTACTACATTTTGCACATATTTATTAATTCAGTTCCTGCTGCTGGATCTATTACAGAAAAGATACCCATAAAATAAACTCACTGTCATAGTAGCCACATCATATGTTACTTTATGTCATGAAAATAAACTTGCATAACCACGGAGTAGCAAGAGTTACTGTGTATTTCTACATAAGTTATTCTGAAGAGAAAAATATTTATTTTATGTGTTTCCATTTTTTGTACAGTTTATACATTCGAATAAGGAGAGTAGATGTTATTCAATTGCCCTAAGAAAGCAATTTTAAATCTATGGGTGTTCTTCAAAAAACAATTGATGGAATAAATAGCAAGACTTTTAATTTAAATAAATGGGTTGTTAAAATTAGATTATTATCTATTTGGCTAGTAGCTTTTACATGCTCTATTTTTATATTAGTGTAATTTAGTTTTTTGTGTATACATTTGTGCAATATTTATTGTATGATTGTTATATTTATATTAGAGATTGAGGGCTATTGAAATAACCGACTTGCCCAGCTGCCCGGTGGTGCCCCCGACACCAGAGTTACCTACAAGGTACGCCGCTTTCTAGGGAGTTACCATGTTGTAATGTCGCTGTGGAAAGCACTGCCTCTTCTAGGAAGCCATGAAGTCAACAGATCAGTCTGGACTGATACTGTGATGTTGTTCCTCAAAGTACAGCTCTTATAAGAGCCACTTTGAGGAGCTGACATGACCTACATGGCAGACTTGCAGCTTAAAAGATGGTTGAGTATTTAAAATATTCAGCCTGCCTATAAGCATCCAAACACATTTCTGCTTGGATGATTCATGACTCCTTTTATTCTCTGTTACATCATGATTCTGACTCAATATCATCTTTCATAGATTAGAGTTTTGCTTTCAATAATAGATGTGTCTGGATAAAGACAAACTGTGTATTTCCCTCATACCAATATTGCATGAGCAGATAGCCAAAGTCTGACACGAATACAGTAAACATTCTGTATGGAAAGTTTCTTCTTGTAAAATTATCCAATGTGATACATTCCTAATTTATTTCTCATATTTCAAATTGCTAAAAATAAATATTTACAGTTCTTGGTTTCATTAAACAGAATAATTGGAAATACAAAAATTACAGAAATACTATGGCCCATTTGCAGAATGTATGCCCATTTGCAAATAGCCACATTTGGTATTGCCCAAATTTACAGTACACTCTTCTTGTTAAATTGAACATGACTATTTGCAAACAAACTGTAGAGAGTCATTCATATTAAAGCAAATTTTCACCGTTATTTCTTATCAGTGATTTTAGTATCCATGTTAGTTTAAATCTAGTTAAGAAAACTCTTTTTTTCTGGTAATATCTTTAAAAACTATTTTTTTTAAATCCTATAATAAAATATTTGTACATTAGATTAATTTTGTTCATTTGGTTTTTAATTGCAAAGTCATTTTAGGAGAAGAAAAGGCACCTAAGATTGTTATTTCTATAAATCTTTTAGAAAATTGTTTTTTTTTTCTCCTAGTGGAAAAAATAGTAAAACAAGTATGAGGAAATTTTGTTGAAGATAATTTTGAGGGAATAATGTCTATTTATCTGGTCACCAATATTGAAGTCTTGAATGACACCTCAAGTCAGGTTTTTAAACTATAAACTTAAACCCAGCTCAATAACTCCAATTATTTTCAGACTTTTACCATGTATATCTCTAGGAGATTCTCCAAGTATTTCTAGCAGTTTCTCCAAACAGAAACTAGATAGAAATTTATGGAAATGAGAAAATCTGTTACATCATGATTCTGACTCAATATCATCTTTCATAGATTAGAGTTTTGCTTTCAATAATAGATGTGTCTGGATAAAGACAAACTGTGTATTTCCCTCATACCAATATTGCATGAGCAGATAGCCAAAGTCTGACACGAATACAGTAAACATTCTGTATGGAAAGTTTCTTCTTGTAAAATTATCCAATGTGATACATTCCTAATTTATTTCTCATATTTCAAATTGCTAAAAATAAATATTTACAGTTCTTGGTTTCATTAAACAGAATAATTGGAAATACAAAAATTACAGAAATACTATGGCCCATTTGCAGAATGTATGCCCATTTGCAAATAGCCACATTTGGTATTGCCCAAATTTACAGTACACTCTTCTTGTTAAATTGAACATGACTATTTGCAAACAAACTGTAGAGAGTCATTCATATTAAAGCAAATTTTCACCGTTATTTCTTATCAGTGATTTTAGTATCCATGTTAGTTTAAATCTAGTTAAGAAAACTCTTTTTTCTGGTAATATCTTTAAAAACTATTTTTTAAATCCTATAATAAAATATTTGTACATTAGATTAATTTTGTTCATTTGGTTTTTAATTGCAAAGTCATTTTAGGAGAAGAAAAGGCACCTAAGATTGTTATTTCTATAAATCTTTTAGAAAATTGTTTTTTTTTTCTCCTAGTGGAAAAAATAGTAAAACAAGTATGAGGAAATTTTGTTGAAGATAATTTTGAGGGAATAATGTCTATTTATCTGGTCACCAATATTGAAGTCTTGAATGACACCTCAAGTCAGGTTTTTAAACTATAAACTTAAACCCAGCTCAATAACTCCAATTATTTTCAGACTTTTACCATGTATATCTCTAGGAGATTCTCCAAGTATTTCTAGCAGTTTCTCCAAACAGAAACTAGATAGAAATTTATGGAAATGAGAAAATCTGTTACATCATGATTCTGACTCAATATCATCTTTCATAGATTAGAGTTTTGCTTTCAATAATAGATGTGTCTGGATAAAGACAAACTGTGTATTTCCCTCATACCAATCCCTATTAACATCTTAGAAATTGATCCCTTAAAAACATGAGGTTCTGCTGTTTTGCTTTTACTATATGAATGATAGTATCATGAAAAAAAATCTTTCTTACTGTGATTTTGTAGTGATCCATAGTTATACATAAGTGATGATCCCCTTGTTGGCCTTTTATAGATCTTAATAGAAAGGCCACACATTTTTCTATAGAAAAAGGTAACCCCTAGAATGTGTTAGGACTTTTTTGACATGCTCAGTAGAGGAGCTTATGTAATGGAAAAACTTGGGCATTTTAACCACCATCTTCTTTCTAGGTGAGGTCCTTCCAAAGTAAAGATGAGGAAAGAATGGGGAAACTCAAGAAAGTGGGGGAGAATATTCAAAGTAAAGATGAGGAAAAAATGGGGAAACTCAAGAAAGTGGGGTAGAATATGGGTAGAAGACTTTGGTCTAACAGACTGTCACTGCAGCATTTCCATGTGTTCCAACCAAAGTAAAGATGAGGAAAGAATGGGGAAACTCAAGAAAGTGGGGGAGAATATGGGTAGAAGACTTTGGTCTAACAGACTGTCACTGCAGCATTTCCATGTGTTCCAAGATGCCATGAAATGTCATTTCCTCAAATTCAGCAACAATATCAATTCTTGACCTTCCCCAGAACTCAGCAAGTTTTTCAGTGGCTTGAAATTTCTGTTTTGCAAACCTGTTAGCCAAATCAATCTCTTAGTCTGAAAGTGAATTTTAACTAATTCATGTTATTTTCTTAACAGGAAATGACCGACAACATGAGCAATGGAGGACCACAACTGATCTTTAATGGAAGAGTATAATCAATGTTTTAAAGAATTGAACATTTTTTGGATTTTCATGAGGCAAGGAGATACCAAGGGATTAGGAGATAAAATTAAAATAGTTCTTGCATTTTTTTTTAAATTTCTCCTGAGCATCTACTAATTATTCCTCCTCAACTTGCCTCACTTATTTCTCCAGCTTTTATAATGGGGTGAAAAACTTTCCAGAAATGTTCTAGTACAGTAATTTCAACAGACATTCCAGATTGTTGTAAAGAAGACTTTTCATGAAAAAATAAATAAATGAAACAGAAATAAGTTTCGTATTCTACACAAACACTATTTGACTAGCATGAGTATTAGATTTGTAATGACATATTTCATATGAGTAATTGAGAAGTGCAAATATCAAGAAATAACAATAACTTATTGATGTCTTTGTTTTGGAAGACGAATGGCTTCAAGAATGCCACAATTCAAAACCTCAATAATGCCTTGTTATAAAAACATTGTAATTATTTTCAATTTGCCAATGAACTATATTTCGTAATTTATATGTAAATGACAAAAATACCTAACACATAAAAAAGAGATTTTTTTTAGAGAGAGGATACTAATCTGTATGATATTTTTTCATTTTTGCACAAGAGTGAAAAGTTGTAAGTGCATATCCTTTAAGAAAATAAACATGTTTTGATCATACCGTGCAGATTGATCTGCATGTTCATAAATGAGCGCAAGAATAAAGTATGTGTGTGTATGTATGTACATATACTGTAGATATAGAAAATATATACAGCATATATTTATAGCATTGATGAATGGAAATAGGTAGTAGAAAAGAAATTGTGATGCTGTGGGGTATCAAGATTCTATTCCAACAGAGATGGGAAGGCAATTGCTGAAGGCTTTTCTATGCCTACAAAGTCACATATTTAATTTCTACTAAATTTTCCCATTTTTCTTCTTTTTATGTCTGTTGTGAGTAAATATTATTGTGGCTGATATTTATGGAGACAAGTGGTCAGAATAGTGTAGTATAAAGATAGAATACTCAATAATTTGGCTCTTGTATTATGATTATCGTATTTATGTAATAGCAATTTTTAAGATTTATTTATACACATTACTTTAAATCATATACTTCCATATTTATAAATAAAAACATTATAGCTTCTGATTATTCATGATATTTATATTTCAAACACCTTGCAGACAAATTAAATCATGCAAAAGAGCAGACGATGTGCCCCCACCAAAATGAAGTTATAATTAGCTTTGCTATAATTTAGGTGTTTTGTTTGTTTTGTTTTGTTTTACGGTTCACATGGAATAATATAGAAAGACCATGTATAAAAAAACATATAGTTAAAGAACCTGAAAGAATTACCTGAAGAAGGAAAATAAAAGGATAAGCTTACATTTATATAGCTAAATACAATCTTTCTCTTCCATAATGCAATGTTAAAATAGCAACCAACTACAATACACATAAGCAACAAAAATAGCATGGCCTTTGAAAATATTTATGAGAACATAACCTGTGGCAACAGATAATGAAATCTATTTTTATAAAAAATATTGCTCTCATTGTATTATATGCTTTTACTTGTCACCAAAGATAATCAATTTTCTAGTCATTTTTATGATTTACTATTGAGCCATAGGTAAATTAAAACCTTTAATATTCATTATGAAAACATGTTTTAATTTCTAAACAAAACATATGTTTTAATTGTGCTAACAAAATAAGAATAATTCTAGTTAATGGAAATCTTTTAGTTTTACAGCAATGTAATCATCATCATCAACCTATTTTAAAAAGCTCATTTAAAAAGGCTGTATCTATTCAATAGAAATAACTGGACTATGATTGTTTGGTGTAGTTTTTGAAGTCTCCCAACTCATTTGGATAACTTCATTATCCAGTAGATTATAGAAGTTTTCCATAAATTCAGCTTCAAACAGTGATTCAATGTCATTACCATTCATTTGATACCACAAGCAAGCATGATATTCACCACCGAAAATCTAAGCTATACAATGAAGATATTTTGTGTGCATATGGTTCTACTGAATTTATGCAAGGATACAGTTTTTTATTGAAAGAATAACCACTGACTAATTTTTGGTGGCATTTCTCTGTAGACATGTTTGTACAATACAAAATTAGAATACATTAGTAAGATGTTTTAATGACTTTTGAACTAATTTGTGAAGTCGCACAATAAAGGACAAAAGTAGGCATATCACTGCTTTGACACAGAGTTACAAAGAGATACAGTCATCACAATTATCCAAATAGTTCACAAGGTATGTTTAACCAAGAACAGATGTATCTGTCAAAGTAATTATTTCAATCTAGTATTTTCAGGGCTGAGTTTTACCTGGGATGTGTAGTGATTCTTTTTAAGTGGGGGAAATTAGGGAGACATTGTTCAAGTGCTTGAAAATTTAATTTTGACAATGGAATTTTTTAAGTGACCATATTACAGTTTTAGAGTGAGCCTGCCCTTAAGGAAAAGTAATGTGATACTAAATTAGAAAAAAACATATGAAACTGGTGTGGTAGTATGCTTTAGAGACTAGCTACAAAGAGGTAGAGTTATTATAGACATAAAAGAATAAAAGTGGACTCTCCTTGGAAATTTTAAAACATATGTATATGTGTGTGCATGTGTGTGTATGTATGTATATTAAATATATATTAATATGCACACACAATGGTTTAGAAATGGAACATGGTATGATGACTCTACTGATATGTCTATGTAATAAAATGGTGTGCTTTGAAACTATGTATGGTGTTGACTTTCCTTTCTTTTAAAATTTTTTTTATTGAAACATAATTGATTGTACATATCTGTGGGGTGCAGAGTTAAATATCCATACCTGTATGCAATGTATGATGCTCAAATCAGGATAATTAATATATTTAGTATTATACAATGTAATCATTTTTTGTAGCCCTTTACCAATTTCTCACTAACTCCCCTTTCTCCTCCCCATTTCCCACCTCTGGTGGCTCCAGCTCTGTTCTCTCCTTTTGAAAGTTCAATGAAGTATTATGATTGTTGTATCTTTCTTTCTTTGTTTATTTATTTGTTAATTTTCTTAGCACCTATTCACGAGTGAGGACATGCGGCATGTCTCTTTCTGTTTCTGGCTTATTTCACTTAACATAATTTTCTCTAAGTTCATCCATGTTGCTCTGAATGGCAGCATTTCATTCATTTTTATGGAAGAGTAGTATTTGACTTTCTTGTTATTATAATAGAAAAATAGTTTCTCCCAATAGCTAGGTGAACAAATGTGCTGTTCTGAGATTGGCAGGGGACGGATGTTGTGACTGAGGAGGAAGAGACAGTTACAAGCTGAAGAATATGGAATTTAAAAAGGATGTTATTTGAGATAGGAAAGATTAGAATGTGCTCAAATGTAGAAAGCGGCTGGTTGAAGATACAGGACAAAATTACCGTAATATAAAAGTGAAGTCTCTGAAGAGGCAGAATAAGATTCGGATCATAGGAGGCAGAATTAAGTACAGATAGTACTGAGATTGCAGGAGATTTCACAAAGAAAACCACAATATTTATAGATCTCTAATAACCTACTTGAGTCTGTCAAATTGGTTGCTACTGGCATTTGGGGTGTACAATAATTCATTGTGCAGACTGTCCCATGCATTTCACCCACTAAATGCCAGGAGGACACTGCAGTCATTCTAACAACCAAAAATGTGCTAACAAACTTTCACCTGTTTCTTTGTAGGGAAGTATTACCCAATTAAGAACCACCGAGGAAAACTCTTGAACATGATCTGGGGCAGCCAATTTCAATGCTACCCACAAGTGTGGACCTGAATTGCTCGAGGTCAAAAACTCACTATTCTAAGGTCTGCCTATGTTATCTAGTATGGTAGCCACTGTCCACATATGACTATTTAAATTTAAATTAATTAAAGCAAAGTCAAATATTTAGTTTTTTCATCAAACTAGACACATTTCAAGTGCTGAATAGCCACATATGAACAACAGTTATAAATATCGCTATCATCTCAGAAAGTCCTATTGGACAGTGCTGGTCAAAAGCACATAGATGGGAACTGCCCACTGTCCCTCAGTCCTTGTGCAAGTTCCTCCACAGTCAACTAATTATCATTAAAATAGAAAGCATGAAAAGAGCTGGCAAACACTCTATGAAATTTGAAGTTGGTGGGCCAGTTAAATCTCTGAACAGTGAAACTAGCAAAACCAGTAGTAGCCCAACTCATAATAAAGTTGAAAAGTTGCTTTAGAAATTTCACACTAATGGGCCGGCCCGGTGGCGCACTGCTACAGTGCGCTGCTTGGGAGCGGGGTGGCGCTCCCGCCGAGGGTTCGGATCCCACATACAGACCGGCCGCTCACTGGCTGAGCGAGGTGCGGACACGACACCGAGGGTTGCGATTCTGTTGCCGGTCCCGGTCCGGTACGGGCGCAACACTGAGGGTTGCGATCTGTTGCCGGTCACGAAAAAAGACAAAAAGGAAAAAAAAAAAAAAAGAAATTTCACACTAAAAAAAAAAAAAATCTGCTCATAGAAAGATTCCACTAATTCACTAAATATTCAATGATTGGCACACAAATGCAATGTTGTATAACTCCGATTTTTGAAGAAGTTTACCTACTACCGTGTGTTAGTGAATAATCCTGCATTTCTTGTGCTTGGGAAGGTTAATAACAGTACACTGCCTTCCACCTTATTTTTTCACTTAGTTCAAAGTTGGCATGTTTATAAACCTTACATCCCAAACTACATTTTCAAAAAATATTTTGCAGACATGTTTCAGAAACTGAGAGAGAGCATTTTAAGTACCGTTTGGTTAGAACACTGTTTCCAAATAAAGTTTCAAAACTTGGCCTCACTTCTCTCTTTTCTTTTCCAGTCACTTCTTTTTTTCTGGAAACATATGTAATATCTCTTACTCAAAGTGTATGACAGCCAAGAAATTTAATTATTCCAGTTCCATAAATCACAGGTTGTCAGTTACTCATGGCAGAGAAAACCAATTTAGAAATTGCTGAAAATGTGGATGCCTAGTAAAATCACAGAGTAATTTTTTTTTTTTTTTTTTTACTCTCCTTGCCAGGAAAACTATTTACTGAATGCAAGAGTCTTTTACTAGGAATGCATTTGTTAAATAGTCAAGGTATAGATCCAAAAAAAAAAAAAAAAATGATTTCAATATTTTAACAGTTCAATATTGTCTATATCAACTAATTATAGTAAAAATTGATACTTTCCTTTTAGTCAGATAGCCTTCATTTAGTTGGAAATCTTGAAGGACTAAGGGAAATCTTTACTTTTCTTTACATCAACTAGGAACTATCCATTTTCAATGCTTTTTCTTTATTAACACCCAAAAATTCTACTTCTTTAGCCACACAATACATTGCAAGACTTTCCCCAAAGGCAAAACGTATTATGTTACTGAAAATTGTCTAGGAGCCTCTAGAACTTGGCTGAAACATCCCAGAAAAATCTAAAATTTTGTCAAAATGTCACCGAGTCTTTTATTAACCACAAGGAATTAGGACTCATGACCTTTTCTTGCTATTAAGTAATAGGGTATTTGGTCTCCACCTACTTGCCAAGACAGAGGTTCTCAAATATTTCATTACATCCTGAAGGAGGGCTACAAAACCTTAGACCTGCCAAGTCACTGCCCAGAAAAGAAAAGCTACAGATTCCTTTATGGGTGGCTCTTCCAGCCAACACTGCTCCTCATTCTGGACTATAAATCAGCCAGGAATGAGATAACACCCAAACTTATAGATATAAAACTACTCTAAGGGCTTTGGTTAGATAGCTGTCTAGATGTCCACTGCCATAATTACTATTCAAAAAGTCTATTGAGATCCAGACTTCTCTGTATTTTCTGTCTTCTAAGTATGTTAATATTCTTACATCAACCTCTGAGAAAATAAAATAAAGTAAAATTATAAAGGCTCCATGTCCTCTACAACAAAAATAAATTGTTGGAGAGAACATCAAATTTCCAAGTCACAATGCAGTGACTAGTGATAATATTAGCCTCTTGCTATCTACCAGCAAAAAGATAGTGGTGCAGCAGGTTAATGATAACCATTTATCAAGTGCTATTTATTAAGCCCTATTATAATGTATATTATCAATAAATGTGACTATTCCTCTATTATTGCACCATCATTTATTTAACATGAAATAAGAAAAAAGTGGGTAGACATCAACATTTTAGCTAACAGGTGAGGTCATTTCTGGCTGTACCCAAGAATCTTAAAGTCATTCAACCAAATCATGCAACATGTACACACACTTTGGTCCGAAAAACAAACCCAAACTGTATCTCATATGAGCTGCCCTCCTTTATTTGATCTGCTGCTTCTGATTTCAGATCCAAATTTCTGGTTCTGTGGTGCTGCCTTGATTTCAGTTTCTGGCCCCTGCAATTGAACTTGAGATTTCATCTCTTCCATTGTCAAGCTTTGAAAGCTACCCCCACTCATTTCACTCCAGGAACTCAAGATTGTTTAACAGAGCTCCCCACTCCTCACTGAGCTAGCAGCAACTAGGGACAGAAGAGGCTTCAACAATCTTAGTCAACATTGTTAGCACAGACATGTGCTCAAATTGGAAACAAAAATATCAAGGAAGTATCTTGGGCAACTGAAAGAAGACTTGAGCTCCATATACCTTGAATGTAAAGAGGTTAGAAAATCTAGGAGGTCATTAGAGATAGCCAGGGAGCTATAAGTGAGAAACCAAAACAAGACCACCTCATCTTTGGGATTTGTAGGTAAATGGATTGGACTCGTAAGAGAAAACTAACTTTGTCATGAACAAAATTCTTTCCTCATATGTCAGATATGTTCATTTCTTGTATCCTCTGTTTTTTTTTTTTTCTTTAAAACCTCTGGTTTAGCTTACTCAACTGTGCCAGAGAATATCAGAAGATGAGGTTTTATTCAAGCTGGAGCTAACACTAGCAGTATCACCCTAAAAGCCAATATGGCACAAGACAGTCGGATTCACAAGAAATGTCAAGGTAAAGTAAGACATAAAGAGGTAGAGTTGCTTCCATTTACTCATTGGTCCACTCCCCCCAGAAATACACCTTTCAGTGCAAATCTCGTAGTTCCAGATATTTTACTAACAAATGTGGCCTTTAGATAATGTCTTTCCTCATAAATTTCTGCAGGGCATTTTTTCACAATTAGGCCAATACACTAAGTGAATGGATAAAGATAAATTTATTACCGTAATAATTTCCAAAGCATAGAAATATTAAGAGCATCCAGCGGCCATAAAGAGGAAGGCCTAGAATAGGATATATTCATGAGTTTTTGGTCATTTCAGAGAAAATTGCATATCAGAAAGCACCCTGTCTAAGTTTCATTTTTATCTACTTTCCACCCTCAAACTTTTCATACCACAGTCTTTGGAAATATTTAATGTCAAGGATCTTTGAGTTCATACAGACTCTGCAGCCAGCAGGTGGTTTATTAAACTGCAGCTTTAAAGTAATTTTGAAAAAATTTAAAAGTAATGGAAACAGTTTTCTATTTTTGTTCTGCAATGAGCTGAAGACAGATGGAAGTAAATGTGAATTTCCACAGGCACCCTTGCAAACACCATGGCTAATTTTATTAGCCAGATCCCTTGCATTTGGAAATATTAAAAGAAGGGTGTTAAAACTCAGTTGCAGTAAGTTCTGACTGGAGAGGAAATAGGCCTTAGGAGAAATACCGACCCTAGTTTTCATAAAAGGACAGTAAAT